GCTCAGCGCGACAGTTAACAACGGGACAAGTGATACAACGATCTTATTTTCAAGGACATGCCGATCCTGAGGTGATTTTTTTCCAATCTGTAAGGCTTCCACTGAGGCATAAGGTTGAAGGGTGACCTCATTTGAAGTCGAAGGTTAGATGCTTAGATTAATTTCCGCACAATCTAGCAATCAAAAGATCAATAACCAACTACTGCCCAATACCTTCATGTCTCCAGCACCACTTCTGGCCTTAGTTGTCTTCAACTCCTCTTTCGCTGTACAGAGACCACAGATACGCCATTTGCTAATGTATGGAGTAATCATACATATAGGCGTTACATTTCCAGAACCAAAATTCTGTGGTTGTCGTCGTGGAGCTGCAGGACGAGCAGATTCTAAAACTTTCGTATACCTCGTAAGATAATGATATTTTTAAAACAAATGCCCTTTTAAGAAAAAGGAAACGGATAAACATCCATTCATAAGTAGATACTATCACTTACGTGGACCTCCTGAAGATATAGCGCTCGAAATGCCTGGATTTCCCCATGGCACTGAATACACCTCAGTGGATTTGAATGTGGAGAACTTATCCTAAATGGCATCATATCTCTAAAAATACTACTAGACCTTTGATAGTAAATTCTAACTAACCTTATCGCCATCGTGACCAACACCTGGTGCCAAAATTGGGTGACCTCTTGAGAGTAGCTCATAACCGGCAATCATTAACATCGGCTTTCTGAATACATTGCTTATACGCTGTGTATATGAATACGGGAGACATTCAGTCAGATTCCACAAAAAAATGACACTACGCGAATTTTCCCACTTTCCTCTTAGTCCTTCTTCATTCCCTTTTCGACAGTATTTTCGATATTCTTGCAAATAAAAACGAAGCAGTCAACATTTGAAGAGCAAGAACTTCACAGAGAGACAGAATTCAATAAGAAAAATTCCAAACAGAAGAGTAAGAGGAAAGATTAACACGAAAAGATCTTAGAACACCTACCCTGGGGCATTCTCTGATTTTTTGCCGACACATCCAGCCGGATTAATATACATCTTAGTCACTGCAATTATTTCACCACCATTCTCAGCATTGCCAACCAGATTGTCTCGATCACACTGAGCCTCTAAGCTTCTCACAAACAAAAAGCCCTAAAACAAAGCAAATTAAAATCAATGGAAAAAGTACTTGATGATAAGAACTTCTAAACGATAGAGATACAAGATCAAATCATTAGTTGATAAGATATTCAGAACTACGTCGAAAAACCGACTTCTAGCAAATCTCGGCGCATGAAATGAAAAACAGAAGATATCTCACGAACGCCCCCTTCATTCAAAGCTTGTGAAATGTTGTTATAACCGCTATAGAATCGATGGCCGACACTCCGATGGCTTTACCTTCTTCAAAGCCATTTTACCACGTTTTAGAAGTCTTTGAGAATCTCTACACTTGGCGAGACGATTTTGAAGAAGACAAAGTCGTTAAAAAGTCAGTCATGAACTCGGAAGTTACAGCAACCTCTAAAGATCAATGGAAGGATAGTTCATGAGATGATGGCTTTTCTGATCAAAAAAGGTTATAAAATCCTGGAAACTAAAACCTGCGCTGCCTACTTTGATGTGGATATCGCCATTGAATCAAAGAACCAAACCCACCAGAGTAGTGAAAAGCTCCATCTGTTAATCGCAGTCGAAGACAAGACTCCGGCCAACCAGCCATACCTTCACTTAGTTTTCTAGCAAGCTGTAAAGCATTTCAAACTACTCTAGTAAAATTATCAAATAATAACAAATATGATAGAGTAACACACCGCAACTTGGAGAATTGGGACTTCCGTGCTCGTTCCGTCACTTTCGAAGTAACGCTGCAAGGAACAAAGTCTTTTTTTTATATAGCAAGACCTATCACATTGTAGATCATTCCTTTCCCCATGGAATAGTAGATCATATGCATTATACTATGCATACGAAATAAGATTATACTATGCATTTGAATAAATTGCTTCCAGAGTCTAGATAAGTGCCGAAGATGAACAATAATCTATTTCAACGGCTGAAATAAGCAAGTAGTATACTACTGAATAAATAAATCCTCTCAAAAGCTGAAAAAAAAACAACTCTTCTAACGAAAGAGTTCTTATGCTGCAGCATGTTCTTCTCCTTGTACAGTCAGATATTCTGCTATTCAAATAAACAAAATTATTCAAGCTAAACAAATAAATTATCTACTATTCAAATAGACAAAACTACTCTGGAGTCATAAGTAGGTATAAGAATAACTAAAACTATTGATAATCAGTCTAAATTCTTTCTATTTTGACTGCCACTTGCAGTGGGATGATCTTATAGTATACCCAATATGTGAAGTAGTGTGCAAAAAACGTTTGCGTCAGCCGGGATTGGAACCCAGATCTTACTCTTTCCGGGAGCGTATGCTCAGCTAGCGTCGGTAGTGCAACGGTTAGCATACGCTTCCGAAAAGAGTGAGATCTGGGTTCGAATCCCGATTGACGCAAACGTTTTTGCACAGTACTCCACATATTGGGTAAAACTATTGATAATTACACTACTGAAAACAAACACCAATAATTAGATAAAGAACCTCTTCGAAAGCTGGGAAAAAGAACTTTTCCGATAAACGAATCCTCTTAGTGTGAGAAGATCGTTTCCTTATGCAATCCACTACACGAGTGAATAAAACTCTTCACTGCCATAAATCTCATATTTTCTTGGTTGCTTAACCCTTTCGGGATCTTGGACCCAACCATTTGCGTCTCTAACCCCCAGCGTGCTGCGTCTAACAATGGCTCTTGTCTCCAACGTGCCATTGTTAGACGCAACACACTGGGGACAGAGACCGCAAGGGCTGAGTCCACATGCCCAAAAGGGCACGAAGTTCATAGAAAAAATTGACTCGAATAATCGGCTGTGGAAGAGAAGACACCGGAACGTTTGCCAAATGATTTAGTTCGATCGTCTTCGTGTTCATGACTTGAAACGACAAAGACTATATGGTTGACTAACAGTGTTGAAGCTAAAAGAAAGTCGATTCTCAAACTTTCATGATATTTTCGAAGATTCTGAGCCTATAAGGATTCTGTGAAGAGGTTATAAAAAGGGCGCCGTGGCCGAGTGGTTGTGGTGCCCGAGGCCCGCACTCAGCACTCGCCAGCACTCAGCAACGTGCGCATGGAACGCCGCAGCCACGCTATCCACGAGATCGCAAGGAGATGCACTCAACCACCACTCTACTACGTTCAAGAAGAAGACGATAAAGCGATTAAATACTAAAAAAAAACCTCTCGGCGTTGATCAATCCCTGAGGGATGCGCCATGCATTCGACCTCAACTTCTAACTTCGTTTGAGGTGATTGAATGCATATCTGGCCTTTACAATGACTCGCGGTGGCCTCCCGCTGAACCAAGTCAGTGCTGCTTATCCTCCCAGACAAGTCTGAGACCTGTCTGGTACCAATTTACCGACCCCGGAGGGATGGATGGCTTGGTGAGCCATGAGCGCGAGATCGAACCATTGACCTCGTGTGCGACGCAGAGCACCTCTAACCACTGCGCCACATGCCCTCGCCACAACAAACATAAGACTAAGAAATAGAAAAATTCAAGTACCTGGAAGAATCCAGTGGAGAGCCGTAGTTCACCATTTACACCATATTTGCGGTATTGCGCAGGCGTAACATCAACCGTTGCGGCTGCCATTTGCCCTAGCAAAATTTCACTTTGAATTCCATACGTGAACAAAGAAACAAACAAAAAATACAACTACGAAGGTATGCAAGAGAATTCGAGTGAGATGATAGCGCAAAAAAAGAGAAAAAGAGGAAGGAGAGAGAGAGAGAAATTCGATGTGAAGACCTTCTTTGTCTTTCTTTTTGTTGGTAAGGCAGCACAAAGACTATAACGCGATCATGTAGACTTTACTACTCGTGGTATCTCTTAGGATGGAGCTCCGATGATCATCCAAAGCCCAAATTCCCAGGCCCTCACCGTTTTTGATTTAGACGCGGTAAGGACGAGAGGGTCTGCATTTCTGGGCCACTTACGACTAGGACGGATGTCTTCGTGATCTACCGCCTCTTGTAACCTGTAGCTGAAACCAATAAGGCGTTATTGAAGCTGAAGAAGGCCTTACATCTCAGCGAAATCGTACTCGCAAAGGAGATAATTCGTCGAACAAACCACCACCAGCGCCACAATACCGATGACAACGACGATCGCGAGGGTAAAAGAAACGGATGGAAAGTGAGCTAAGAGGCTCGCCACCCTGTTCGTATTGGGCCGATCTATCCGCGTATCCATGTCGGTGATGAAGAAACACTGTAAAACACCGAGTATTCCTATGTGGATTTCCTCGAAAAGTCGAGAACTCAACGGGAAGCCCACCGACCCTAAGGCCCGCGATTTCTTCACGAAAAGCCTAGGACAAAGATATGATGCTCAACGAACCCCTACAGCGGGCAGGATTCAGTGGGCCATTCCCGATGCGAGAGGGGTAAAAATGGAAGTTTTACAGGGTGGCCGCTCGAGTCACTCGACGATCAACGGAACCGCCGGTGATTCCTATATGCAGGAGTTTCCCAAAAGTACATGCAGAGTCGGCCTTTCGTGGGAACTTCTCACAACCACGTGTTCAGGAAACCCTCTTCACTGTGGGTGTTCATGATGATAACCTCGAGAGGGGGGAAGGGGGGTTACGAAGATCGCGTCATTATAGAAAACACTTTAGCAACTATATCTCACTCCTTTCCTTGAGAAAAGACTTAAAGGAAATAATGCGAAGCCAGAAAAACGGAAGGCGAGAGCAGTTTGTAAAATATATTTCATTACTGGTACTGAGACTTAATGAAGGTCGCTTTTCGAGTCGTTTCAACGAACATAAATTTGCCTGAAAAACTAATACCATATATTTTTATCGATTTTTGTTCTTCCTAATTAATCTTCTCATTATACGCAGCGATGCACATTGATTTGCAAAACTACGTGTCATGCGGGACTCGAACCCGCATCTCACTCTATCCGGGGGAACGTGTGCTCTAACCGTTGCACTACTGACTCCGTAATTCGTGATATAATTCCTCCCAGATGGCTCATTGCCTCATTGAGCTGAGAAGTCCTGGTGTCGGACTGCGAAGTATAGCAGAGGGTTCAACTCCTCTGCAGGGCCCCTCGAGCTGCAAATGAGTCCGACGTTTCCATCCGGAAAGATCAACAGGAGCAAACCGTACGGCGAATGACCGCCATCTTGGCAGCTACTAGTCGCAAGGTGGTGATCACCCAGCGATCCACAAAGGCTGGCGACTACTACTCTAATGTGGTGACGACCCGGAGGAGCTCCGACTAGAGTTATCTCGGGGGTCCAGGGAACAAAACAGCTACCGGGCAGCAGTTTCGACGTGGGTGGGCGCCCGCACTATGAGTGAAGACGGACCATTCACCAAGTATCAACTACTACAAATTCGCTCTAAAACTGAGACCATAGGTTTCTCTGGAATTTCTTTCTATTTTTACAATTATTTCTCTAATTTTCAATATACAACTGATCCGTACTCGACAAATCGCGGTTAACCTGCGACTGAGAAGAGCAGTACCCAGTACTGCGAGTATTTTGATGACAAAGGAACACACTCACCCCTAGGGACTCAAAGAGATTCACGTCAAGTCTATATCACACAAAGCACAAGCGTCCCAACGAGGCGCACTTCAGTTTTTTTTTATCTACCGAGGGCTCCCTTGTCTGTCTTCTTTACTTTCTGGAGCAATTCCCAAGACCGTCTATCAATTGACCTCGGCTGGGTTGTATAACTTCGTTTAAAAATTTTATTTTCCAAAGAAAAAAACAGAAATTTTCCCTGGTTCTTGTGGAGAGTTGTAGTCCCGTCATTTTTTCAAGGTTTTTTTTTCCGATTAATTTTCTTCAAAATAGGAAATTCCGATAGCACGCTTAGGCTTATTCTAGGGTTTCGGCTTTGGCTCAGGACTAGGCTGCTTAGGCTTAGGTTTAGCCTCAGGCTCAGGACTGGGTTAGGCTTAGGTTCAAGCTTCGGCTCAGGACTAGACTTAGGCTTGAGCTTACGGTGAGAAAACTGATGGGACCGCAGCTCTCCATTAGCGTCTATTTTCTTGAGCACTCTATTGTTCATAAACGCGGATGTCCGCTCATCAAAAAATACAAAACTATTTTCTCCTTTTTTTTTTTGCAAAAAAAAAGGATTGACCGGGCACACCCTCCCCTCCCTTCCTTCGCTTATTCAGTTTTCTTATGAACACGAGCCTGTTTAGTGATGTTTGTTTTTGTTTTTGATGTTGTTTATTTGTTGTTTTGAGTTGGCTTACAAGGAAAAACAGTGAATTATTGAAGAATGCCGAGGTGATCGATAGTCGGGTCTCCGGATTGATTATAAGTGTTGTTTATAACTGAATAAACATCAACGCTTGGGAAGATCAAAGACCAAATATGACCGAGTCGACGAAGAGAAAGAGAAATCCTACGAAAAGAAAAACCTACGCGAAGAGAATCGAAAAGGAAAGTCACGTGACGCGGCGAGCGCATTCGGCGCATTCGGCGGGAAATCGGGCGACTTCAAATTGCGCGACAGGATTCGGGACCGGCGCCGCGCGATGACGTGTTATTGACAGGTCCCGTCCTGGTTCTCCCAGTTCGAAGCACCCAGTTGAGAGGAGATCAGTAATCAATCCGGAAATGACTTTATTTGACCGCCCCTTGCGCGGTGCTATGATGTTATGTTGAGAGGAGATCCTTTTGACAAGGGATTGCAAAAAGGCCCACGGGGTTGATAAGTTCCTGAGGGTGCGTCGTGCATTGGATTCCATTCGTAGCGTCGTTTACGTGGTTCAACCCTTTCGGGACGCAGCCTTTCTTGCTTTTCCCGTTGACTTTAGGTAATCAATCGATAGCCTAGATCTCCGCAATTCAGCGAAATACCTCTGTTGATTCGAAAAGTCTTGCTAGAGCGCTGAAGCAGCAGGTTTAGCGAATCAAGAACATCTGATGACCTGGTAGTCGACGAGGGAGCGGTAGGAGAGGGGAGGAAGAGGAGGGGGGGGGGGGTTCGGATCTAACATCTCTAGAAGTGCAGTCCTCATGGACTATTGATTTTACCGCTTTAGTAGTAGTATTATCATATTTAATATTTATACACAGTGATGTAAAGTGATGTGTACAACTTTCGCTTCAGCCGCGACTCGAACCCGTATTTCACTCTGTCCGGGTAAGCGCGCGCTCTAACCCAATGCGCTACTGGCGCCCGCTTTGCCATCACTTTCTTTCTCTACGCTATAACGCATTTGTCTATCAACAACTAGCCGTCAACGGTTTGGCCTAGGTAGTCGATATCGACATAGAAACCCGGTCGTGCTGACAGATATTGGAGTCAAAGCACGCGTTCGCGGATAGAGTGAGATGTGGGTTCGAGTCCCGCCCGACGCAAAAGTCTTTGCACACCACTCACATCACCAGGTTTATGTGTAACATCATACCACCGCTACTATTGGTCAAATAAAAAGGATTCTATTTGATATTTACTTGGACGGCCCGTCTTCACGGATTGTGCAATCCCCATCCTAGAGAAAGCGTCATTTAGAAGGAGTGTTAAAAGGATAAAGGATAAAGCTCTCACCGTTGATCAATCCCCAAGGGATGCAGCATGCGTTCGTTTTCAATTTTTAACTTCGTTTGAGGTGATTGAATGCAAATCTGGCTTTCAATGACTCGCGATGGCCTCCGGCTGTATAGAGTCAGTGCTGCTTATCCTCCCACACAAGTCTGAGACCAGTCTGTTAAGAATTTACCGACCTCGGAGGGATGGATGGCATGGTGAGCCATGAGTTCGAGATCGAACCATTGACCTCGTGGGCAACGCAGGGTACTTCTAACCACTGCGCCACATAGGCACTTTAGGAGTGTTATCTTATTATAATTATATATGTACAAGAATGATGAGTAACATGCAAAATTCGAAACCTCGGGCGGGAGTCGAAATCCGCATATTTCACTTCCGAGAAGCGCATGATAACTGCTGCGCAACGGGCGCTCCTGAGAGTATTTAAGGGATATGCGTTTTTTTTGTCTTGGCTGTTTTATATTCTGCCAGAGATTGTGGTTTTTTGGAGTCTTCTAGGATTTTCATTTGTTCTTACTATTGATATCTCATCGCAGCATTCCGTTTACTACAGCCTAGTACACTGTCCTCACTCGTTTAGATATTCAATATAATGTGAAAGAATGTTTTGAGCCTTTCAAGAGGTTCGGTTTGGCACTTGTAGTACTGAACGTACGTTTCCGCTTTATCGTACGCCACAACAGTACCACATGCCATTCGGCTCATCCTTACAATAACTGGAATCGTCGCCGAAGTTATATCACTCCTCGTCAAGTGAAAATATCACCTGACATGGCTCTAAAGTGATATGAGAATCGAATGCTCACGTCTTGATTATTTTGGAATCTCGCTTACATATTCAATATATTCTGGTAGAATATTCTAAGTGTTTTAAAAGGCTCAAAGGATTCTATCAGATTAGTTTGAAATTTTAGTGACATATTGTGTGCCTTGAGTGCATGTGGCGCAGTGGTTATAGGTGCTCTGGGTCGCACACAATGTCGATGGTTCGATCTAGCACCCATGGCCCACCAAACCATCCTTCCCTCCGAGGTCAGTAGATTAGGACCGAACTGGTCCTAGACTTCTGTGGGAGGATAACCAGCACTGATTCGATACAGCAGGGGACCACCGCTAGTCATTGTAAAGGCCAGATGCGCATTCAATCACCTCAGACGAAGTTAAAAATTGAAGACGAATCTGGGACGCATCTCTCAAAGATTGATGAGTGCCGAAAGCTTTATCATTTCATCTTTTTATTGTCTACCGATGGAGACCACATTTGTTCGACCGCTTTCTCATAAACAATCATTTGGGAACATACGGATATTTGGCCCCATTTGGTGGATAAGAACTTCTCACAAGAGTGTTAGTAATTATTCGAAAGCTTAAATATCTGGCTAGCGCCCTGCTGGCTGGCTTTTCAAAACATCCTTTTATAACACTGTAAAATCCGAAATATAATTATGTTTCATCCTCCCACGCGTTTTTTTTTTCTAATCTCGCTTATATCTGGCTAGATAGAACTCTTTTTTGGAGTGCTATACTCTTTAGATAGTAATAGTCTCGAAAAACTCAAAAATGTGTTTTCTTCTTGAAAAGGATCTTTTGATAGCACTTTAGAAGGAGAAACATTTTTTTACACCTTGCCGGACAGAGCTTTTTCATTAGACTATCGGTAATCAGTCGATAGCGTAAGTTTCACTGATTCCAAGGCTGTGCTCAGTTTCTGGATAGACCGTTTCACTTTCGTATAGTAGGAAAATTAGGATCGAGTTTCACTTATTCGACGGCCTATTTACGGGCTAACCTACGGATAAGGGGGGAGGGGCAATCGATCAGTTAGCTGGTGGGTGAGACATTGGATGAAATCTGTTATACAATTGGGAATTTTTCCTGCGCTTTGAAGGAACTTCCGTATAGAACGACTGACTCAGGTACCAAGAGATTTCTTCTACGCGTTCCTATGCTTCTCGTGCTTCCAGCGTATTATTCGCATGATAAAAATGAAGACGTGCTACGGGTGTGAAACAAAATTTTATACTGTATCCTACAGCATGATAAAAGTGTGTTTTGAAAAACTGGTCACATAGCATTGTAACCAGAGATCTAAGTTTTGAAATGATTATCATTACTCCTATGAAAACTTGTCCACCGAGAGGGATCGTTTCTTCATTCGTTCCCTGATATCGAGAAAGGACCAAAATAAGGTGTTGACGCTACTCAAGACAACATGAAAACCTTTATCCTGGTCTCAGATAACTAGTGTGGAATTATAGGCGCACATGGGAAAGGATGAGACTTCTGGCTCTAATCAAATCTTTAGAGATGCCCCATCCATTCAACTTTATCGAGCATCATTCTAATTGAATGCATATCTTTGTGGTCTATACAGTAAGTTGTATTGCCCTGCCGATGTATCACATAAACGCTTAT